CGTGGGAATGGTATAAAAAAAGTACAAAGGACGGCTGATTAAAACGAAACTATAATTCCGTTATCAAGTAACATTATAAGCTTTTATACTACAATTTATCGACGATGGAATCGAACGCATACATTATTGAGATATTAATAGAATATTTAGTCATCTTTTTTGATTGCTAGAAACGCCGTAAAGTAAGACGTGGCCGTTCGTAATACCTTCAATTAAATACAAGCAATTGTTTTATTCGCACACACGTAAAGTTGTTATAAAGCTGTAAATAAATTTGTAACTTCGCGGTATATTACTTACCGTCGTATAAGTTGTTATGGATAATGGAATCATATTACCTACTTTTAATCCGCAGGGTACACTACTTCTATAAAGCGTTATAATTAATAGCGATTTTAATCTAGGCGAGAAATTGTACCATTCCGTCGTGAGCCTGCAAACATAAGTATCAAATCAAATTGTCAGTTTCAAGTGAAATTTTATACCTAAATTAGAATTAACGATACTTTTTCACTGCACGATTCACTAATACAATAAAAAGCTGCATATTGCAAGATAGTTCATAAAGGTTAGGCAAATTTCTAAATTAATATTAATTTTTATAAATTAATAAACTTTCAAGTAAGTCCCCTAATTAAAACTAAACAACATATGAGAAAACGCCAATGTGGGTCACGCCATGTGGGTGAATAAATTCACATTTTTAAATATAAGATTTACAAGTTGGGCTACCTATATCTTGCCTTGTGACCCACATTGGCGTTTTCTCATATGTTGTTTAGTTTTATAAATTAGTTACGTTTTTATAAATTACATCCTATTAGAAGTGCTGGGCTTAAATTACAGTTGAAGTGAAATTATATTTAAAAAATCTTGCATATGTCTATGACACAAGTATTAGTAGATATAAATTGATTCTAAGAAAATCTTGAAATATTGCATAAAAGTATAACCCAAGTTACGTTAAAGTATAAAATAATTACGTTCGGTGAAATATATTTTCACTTTCATCCATTAGTTTCTGACCGGAGTAACATATAATCAATATAGTTACTAACGCACCCGTCATTATAGACATCGATCTTACTAATTCGCTCAGTTGATCCTTTACATAGAGTATCTATACAAATTGAAAAATATTCATTGACTACTTAGAAAATAATTATACTTTTAAGATAAATACATCTATTATTTATCTAACATTTTGCAAACACTTATTTTATCAAAATCAGATTTTCGATATTTTTTATTTTTCCGATTTAAACTAATCTGCTTTAATTGTCCAGCTATGCATTGGTCTGCAGAGATTCAACAGGAAACTGCATTAATATCAATCAATAAAAATACGGAAATCTGACTGTGTTAAAATTTTTTTAGTTTATATGATCGTATATTTACGTCATCTATTAGAAAAACATCTTATATGTTAATTTAATACTTACACGCATTCCAAGCAAACTCATACCTATTGTAGCAACTAATAATGTGACTAACGAAACTACTTGCTGTGATGAGTCTAACATATCGACAAATCTACGGAATAATAATAATATTATTATTATTACCAAGTTAATATCTGATAAGTAGAAAACGAAAATAATAATATTAGATATCATGTATATTGAGAGATAATAGACAATCTAAAGTTACTCTATTGCAAGCTGATGCTTTTTTATACATGTTATATATTCCTGGTACATTATTTTTTCATTTGCTGAATCAAGATCCATGCCACATTTACGTTTACTTATTTCTCTATTATTTGCTTTTAAATTTATGTTTTCAATTTGTTTACTGCAATATGAAGTTCATGTTATTTCCGTGAAAGACCGTGAAATGACTAACATATGTATTGTGTACATACATTGGTGGCAAAATATGTAATTAATATCTTGCAATAATTGCAATAATAATATTATTAGTAAGAATACTCTTAAAAGTCGCCAGCAGTAATTAACAACATCAATGATTTTTATTGACCGTATCTGGCAATTAAAATTCTTATTGCGAAAAATATTACCCCAACCAGGATTGGTTCCTGAGAATTTTAATTGCCAGATACGGTCAATAAAAATCAATAATATTATTACCTAATTATAGTACAATATACCGATTTGAAATTAATATCCTATTTGCGATATAAATATTTACCTGACGGCAACAAATAGACTGCAGGCATGAGAGATGCATACGATACGCATTAACGTATTAACGCTTAGCGTAATATTCATAGCCACTACGATTACTGCGGTAGTGTAACAAAAGATTGGTAGAAAATATTCATTTATATCTACCCTGTATTCGGCTACGAGTGCGAAAAATCGCGGACGTGATTCGTTTAGAGGCATTACGATATCTAAGAGCAGAGGTGTTAACGGTATTGTTGTAAATATTAACAGCATGATATACAGTGATACTGCAACATTGCGAGAAGAATTTGTTCTTTTAATAATATCACAATTTATAAAGTATTCTAAAATTATTATCAAATTTTCGAATTGTTTGTAACAAAGAGAGAGAACAAGCGTCCATAGGCAAATTGCCCCGTTTTTTTTTTCGCATTCGATTTAGGTCACAAAGTAGATACCAAACGAAAGGTCTCGTCAAGCTAATTACAGGTATGTTAGTCTCGGAGTATACTTATTTAACGTTCCAGAGATATCGGGCCCCAAAAATTCCCAGGACGTAAGCGACGAAGCCTTCTGGACAGACACCAACCATTTGTTTGGAATGGAACGGAACCTTTGGAGCCCGATATCTCTGAAACGTTAAATAGGCACACTCTGAGATTGACATACTTGTAATTAGTTTGACGCTTTTCGCTTGGTACCTACTTTGTGACTAAAATTGAATGTGAAGAAAATGGGGCCGATCTTGTTCTTACTCTTTATTTTTCGTCGAAGATTTTATTAAATGTCATTTCTATGTTAATTTTTAATAGGAAATTTCTGTAGACTACTCGGTCTTCATTTATTAGGTCACTATTCGTCTAATTATATTACTACGTCCTATTAACATGGAAATGGAATAATTTCATTAAGGAAAGTATTATTATAATACTATTGTACTTACTGAAATAATATTTCGTGAATATTCGCGACAACGTAGAGTACTCTTTCAAAATTTGTATTTCCTTATCGTTCGTAAATATATTCCAATGTTCATCGATAATTTTGTATAACTGTCGAAACTGATTGCACAAATATGGAAACTATTTAAACGTGTAACACCTGAAATATCTCCCGAGACAAACATAACTTAAAAACAGATAAAACAACACATTTTAATTCTAGAAACGTGCCTTGTCATGATTCCAAAATTCATTCAACTGATTTACAATTAAATACATCGAGATGAGATTTTGATAACAACCTTCAAAAATCATTTGCGCATCGTCCCAATGATCATATAAAAGTAATATCTGCAATTGAATTATCATCTCTGTCTTACAAATTATTAATTGTTATATCACGTACGTTATAGAAGAGGCAGCACTCTCTATAGATATAGAACAAGGGTGGTATGGTATGTATATCACATATATAATACAAAATAGTAAAACAATAAAAATATTTCAACATTCTGGAATAAAAATATGTCGAAAACTTGCAATACCTCGAACGGGCAGTAACTTATCTCGAGCAGGAAGGAAAAAATCCTCAACGAATTTCTCAGGTGCTTACTTTGAAACGGCCAAAAACCTACGGTTGATAAAAAAAGTCGGTTGATATTATACTCTCTTAGAAAATTCGACAGCATTCTTGTTTGTTTCAATTCTACGTCGAGAGTCCGTAGCATACTGATAAGTACGTGTCACGCATGTTATCGATTCTTCGGCGGGTATACAGTACACAAAGTAGATAAGTGCAGGAAGCATGAAATTATAGGATATCAGGAATCGTCTGTCACCCTATTATTTTTGCTGTGTATGAGTGTTTCAAGCTACCAATATTAAACCTTCAATTTTTCCAACCTACTTCAATGTGTCATTTATGTGATATTATTTTTGAGTAGCATGTAAAGGTGCGTATACACTACGGCGAACAAACGGCGAACGAACAGCGAATTAGACAGATGTGTACACCACAGCGAATGCGAACTGAACTATCGGTAGTGTTCGATTCGCCTTCGGTCCAAGTCGAAGGTTCGTGCGCAGTGTGGACGGGATTCGAATACGAATCCGAACATTCGTGTTCGCCGTTCGTTCGCCGTAGTGTATACGCACCTTTAGTGTAACGATACAGCACGAGCTAGGAAGTCTGATGTTAACGTTCTGTACTAACAATGAAGAATATGTGGCTACTTGGTTATAAGCATTTTTAACGCTTTATGTGGAATCGAGGATGTCCTCGAAACTAGAAAGTGTAGTAAACTGAAGAAAAGTAATTCAATTCTTTTAAAAATTCGTACCTGAATTTTGGTGATCTGAAGAAAAGACTATTGCAGAAAAAAAAGAAAGGTAAAAATTTTAAAGATTTCCGAAATTCATAATTAAGTTTATCAAATTAAACTGACAAAGATATAGTGTTATACAGTGTCTCAAGAATATTGAAATCTGTGGCTAATAAAATTAATATTTTGTTGAATTAACCAACGCAATGTATAAAACTGTCAACTTTGTTTATTGAAAGTTATTGTGTACATAACAGTAGACAATGCCTTTACATTTTGGATTATAACAGATTAATTTATAAAGCCGTCACTAAGAAAAGAAATATAGTATAAAAGAGGAAATTCGAGAAAGAAAGAACAAAAATGATTGAATAAGAGAACATATAATTTTATTATAGTACAAATATAACATTATAAATCTCTTTATTACAATTTATTAACATCGATATTAAATAAAGACAGATTTGTGAAGAATTAAAATAGAAAATTCAGTAGTCAATCTTGGAGTGATAAGAACGCTGTGAAGTAGGACATAGCCATTCGTATTACCTTAATAAAGGAATTAAGTAAATTATTTAATATATGATATCATTATAAGAAAGATGATACACTTTGTGCAGCTTTGCACAATTTCCTTACCGCCGCATAGGTCGCGATGGATAACGGTATCATATTGCCTGCTTTTAATACACAGGGCGTGTTACTTCTGTAAAGAGTAATTATCAATAGAGATTTCAGTCTAGCCGAGAAATCATACCACTCTGCCGCGTATCTGTAAATGCGAGATCAATTGTTGACTTTTGTTACCTTTCCAAGGAAAGACTTGAATGCAAAATTAAAATTAATTGTAACACCATGAGTATATTTAAAATGGTGTACGTACATAACACAATTTGCAAGATAATTTACAAGAAATAAGTGATTTCTAAATTAGGAACATTTTTTATTATATATTTATTACGTCATAAAAATTTCAACTTTTAATAAAGTTTTACGTTTAATTTTATGCAATATTGCACAAAACTATTGCTATGTGATTCTCTTCTAAAACAACATTATATGTAAAACATTGTGTGTTTTATTGTATCTATTAGAATAGAAAAAATCATTACGCTTGATAGAATATATTCTGGCTTTCATCTATTAATTTCTGACCAGAATAACACACGATCATCAAAGTCACCAATAATCCGAAGATTATAAATACAAATTTTATCAATACTTTCAGTTGATGTAAGACATGGATAATCTACAAACATAAATAACCTACAATTTTTGCGTGAAAAGTATTACGAAAGTGTTCGAAATACAATTTGATTCTTCAATTTTTATCAATTATATTTTTTTTATGTAAAAAAATATGAATATTAGAGCACACTATTATTACAAAATCAAGTAGATATTCTATGTATAATGATTATTATCACAGTTTGTAACATTTATTTTGTACGATTTTACTTTAATTTTAATTTTATATTAACAAAAGATATCTTAGATAAATAGTTTCTTGATGCTTACTCGAATTCCCACTAAACTCAACGTTGCAATAACAAATAATAACAGAAGTAACGAAAGTTCTTGATATGACAAATCCAATACTTTTACAAATCTGTGAATAAAAATTATGTTGGCAAGCAAACTTTTTGCATACAGACAGCAACATAATATCATGGATTTAATTTGTAAAGAGACAGTTTGTAAAGAAAAGCGCTTACTCTATAGCAAGTTGATATTTCTTTATACATATTATATATTCGCAATATATAATTTTCTCACTTGACGAATCAAGTTCCATATTCACGCCATATCTATATTTATTAATCTTCTTGCCGTTATTCACTTGTGAAAATATATTTTCAACTTGCTTACTGCAAAACGTAAATTTTCCCGTGTATCACGAAAGCTAAATAAATTATGCAATACGTAACAGATGCGTTATGTTATTGCAAATACAAATAATATTACTATTTTACAATAATATTACTGTTATACATATACAGGGTGTTATGTAATACTCGCCTCACCTCTTATTTACAGGTACATAGAACGGACTAGACTGAGTCGAAAAGTCTTCTACCATCTTGCGATTTTCGCAGTAGTTAACGAGTTATTAATTATTAAAAATTGCTATCTTAGCCCGGCCTACCGTCCAATTCAAGCGCGCTGTTGTTTAATGTATTATACTATACGTAGCCCTTGCCGTGTGTCATAAACAACGCCAATCGCGGGACGGCCGCATCTCACCGCGAGCTTCAATTGGACGGTAGGCTCGGCTAAGACAGCGATTTATAATAATTATTAACTCATTAACTACTGTGAAAATTGCAAAATGGTAGAAAACTTTTCGACTCGGTCCAATCCGCTCTATCCGTAAATAAGAGGTGAGACGAGTATTACATAACACGCTGTATATTAATTTTTCACGTTAAAATTATTATTATAACTAGAATGTATTTACCCGACAGCAGCAAATAAACTGCATGCGTGTGCAGTGCATATGACATGCATCGCATCAACACCAACCATGATGGCTATACCTACTGTGGCTACAATGGTAGTGTAACAAAACATTGGTATAAAGTAATCTTTTCTGTCCACTCTAAATTCAACTTCGATTATGAATTGTCGCGAACGTGATTCATTAAGTGGTACTACGATATCTAGAAGCGGCGTTATTAATGGCACTACTATACATACCGATAACATCAAATATATTAATGCTGCAATGTGTTATGAAAGATTGTTTCTTCAATAATATAGATTACTAGAATAATAATATCCTTTATACTGGAGTAATAATATGATTATCAGATCCTATCACCATTTGACAAAAATATAATAAACCTGCCGTTAGCGAAAGTCGTATTAAATTCCAGTTTTTTCTCACTACGAGTATATTAATATTGAATTTGTCGAATTTGAATAGCAAACGTTTGGATAACACAACCGCAATCTCCTAGCTTATGGAATGTTCAATCATATTATTCTCTTCTGTCATCATAGAATTCGACGCTTTGAAAATATTATATTATCATTGCGATATGCGCGTACTCACTCGAGTAATATTTCGTAAACTTTCGCGACAGCAAAGAATAATCTTTTAAAATGCTAACTTCCACATCATTCGTAAATATGTCCCAATGTTCATCAATGGCTATGTACAACCGTCGGAACTGATTAAAATAAACATAAAAACAATATAGCGTATTATATATAAAATAATTCTACTTTCTATAAGATAATCATAGCTAAAAAAGCAACGGCAGTATGATACAGTTGTACGAAATTACTCTGTCATAATTCCACATATCGTGTAATGTTCTTGCAATAAAAGCGGTCACTAAAATGAGTTGATAGCAGCCATCGAAAACCAGTTGTGGATCATCCCAATGATCATACAGCAGTAATATCTGCGTATAACATTGGATTAAGTATTATATATTACAAACATAATGCGATGTATGTTATGCTTCTATTTAATTAATCGTTAATTGTTGCATCAGGTATGTGTAATACATTGAAATATATTATTTCACGATAATAACATTCCTGATAATATTATATTATGTATGTATAAGCTTTAGGATAAATGATAATACTTTGTGTATTTTCTCATACCGAAATATATGTATATCATATGTATCGATGGATACGCATTACCTGACACGGATAGCTACTTATTTCCACTAGCAAGCAGAACGTTCGTAACGGATTTCTCACGTGCTTACTTTGAAAGGGCCAAAGACCTGTAGCTGATAAAAGCACTCGATTCATATTGTACTCTCTCATAAAATTTGCTAACATGACTAATGTTTTCCCTCCGACGTATTAGAAGGAAATGATACGTGCCAAGCACGTGTGCTATCGATTTCTGAACATACAAATTGCGGCACAAAAATGCTCTAGCTATATCGATGTCAGTGACAATGTCTTACGTATGTCTCTGATGATAGAGTACGTTTATCGCATACGATACTAAACTACTGAACCATTATTTTCACTTTCTTCTGTTAAATATCTTCCTGGTGTGCCACGTTATGGTTACATAAGTATAGTATAAGCATATTGTAGTCTAGCACATAGCGTGACAAGATAATTGAAGATGAAAATAATAGTAGTGCAGACGCGTGCTTATTTTTTTCTCCCCCCTTCCGTATTGAAAACTCTTCTTTGCTAGAATGATTTTCAGTTTATTTTTAGTACTGCAGTTATACTGCGATCGAAGAGTCGAATATCTTTGAAAGTAGACGACGAAATTGAGTATGGTCGAAGTTTACATGTCGTAAATTTAATAATTCAAAGAAATAGAGAAAAATTATAAACCAAAAGCAGATATCATCAAAATACGATTTATTGATGTTAAAAACATTAATATCACGCATACTACAAAGCTATATTAGTGAAAAGTTAATTAAAATCTAAGCAATCACCCTTTGATTGATGTAAACGCTGTAAAGTATGATATGGCGGTCCGTATAACCTTAAACGATCCGAAACACAAAAAAGCGTGAGTTTTATATATATATATATATAATGTTAATATGTATAGTGTGTGTGTATAATTGCATAAAACTTAACAGTTTTGCGCATTTTACATACCGCTGCGTAAGTCGCGATGGATAATGGAATCATATTGCCTGCCTTCAATCCACATGGTCTATTACTTCTGTAAAGAGTGATTATCAATAAAGATTTTAATCTAGGCGAGAACATATACCATTCTGCAGCGTATCTGTAAGTCAATAACAGATTTTAACTGATTTATTTATATAACATTTATTAACAATTAATTTACAAAATATTAAAATACATAGTTATCTTTACACATTAAAGTAGTCATACTTAATATTAATATTTCATGTGTTAATTATATTTTTTTATTATATATTCTATTAAAAGTATCCCAAGTTAAATTTTTTAATAAAATTTTTTAATAGATAACCTAACAAATTCTTATAGCTAAATTATTCTTAATTTTGTTTAGAAGAGTTATGATATTTATAACTGTCAGTATGTTAAAGAAAAAAAATTAGTATTACGCCTGACGGAATATACTCTGACTTTCGTCCATTAATCTTTGACCAGAGTAGGATACAATCATCAAAGCTATCAGACCTGCTAGGAATATACCAATGTATTTCACCACTTCCTCCACTTGGTTCAACATATAAACGATCTATAATTACAAGTATTACATTATTTTTCAAAATATAGTTATATTTAAAAAATGTAAATTTACTTATAAGACAAAACTTTAAGATTTTATTTAAAAAATACTAAATTTAATGTAAGACGCAAAACAATATGTATTAAAATTAAATATATAGGCTATAATTGTCTTCTTTTTTCTCTAATTCTTATTTTCTCTAATTATTAAAGAAAAAGTCACATATAAAGAAATTATTTTCAGAGACTAGAAGAACGAACACCTGACTGTATTACAATTTTGATTACTTTGTATAATTATATGTATATTAATATTTTATGACATTTTACGTGATTACTAGTTACACGTACTCGAACCGCAATCACACTTATAATTATAAGAAGCAACATTAACAAAAGTAATGCAATCCCTTGATACGACGAGTCCAATATATTAACAAATCTAAAATAGATATTAGCAAAGTAACTTATGTAACCAAATAACATTATTTAATAATACACATATACAGAGAGAGATGGAAGAGGGGGCGTTTTGTAAATAGAGAGACAATTAAGGAACGATAAAACAAGATCTACTTACTCTATAGCAAGTTGGTGTTTCTTTAAACATAATATGTATTCCCGGTATATTATTTCCTCATTTAATGGATCAAGTTTCATATACATGCCATACTTACATTCTCCGATTTCATTGATATATTTATTGTTCGCTTTTGAAGTTATATTTTCAATTTGTTTACTGAAAATATGATATCTCCGAAAAGTTAAGTAAAATATGTGTTATACATGAGAAATATACGAAATATACATATAACACACCTAGGTAGCCAGCTGACGTCACTTCCCTGGTAAAAATTCCGTTAGAAACGGATAGAAC